CCCCAGCATGGGGCTCAGTAAATTTTGGCTAAATGAATTCAGGTCCTGCCTTAAAAGGTACATGAGCAGCATCCTATAAGAAATAAGGAGACAGGAAAAAACAAATAGTACATGGACTCCAGAGACAGAAGAGCCTGCAGTCAGGCCAGGACCTGTGCCTACACAGAGCTGAGAGGCCCAGAGGAAAGTGGGTCCAGAAAATGTGGGCCAGTGGCTTAGAGAGGCTTCCTGGGAGAAGGGCTGGAGCTGAGCCTTGAAAACAGATGGTAGATGCTTTCCAACCACTAGCAACAATTCCAACACAAACCTTTCCCAGGGCAAGAGTCCTCCAGGGAACACAGAAGCCCAGAACCCCCTCTTTATCACCACACCAAACCACAGCTTCAGGTAGCACATGCCTCTCCCCTAATTCCATACTAACATGAAACCTGTGCTCTAATATTTTATTCTGCTAACACTGTGATCATGTACCTGTATTCTGCACTTTGGGAAGGCCAGCAGGTGACAGGAAAAGAGTAGATGGGGAAGCAATTCTGCTGGGAACTGCAGTAAAGCCCATGGCATTCTCCTCCTGGGTTGCTTTAAATAGGAAGGTGATGACAATCACTACCACCATTTACTAGGTACCAAGTACTCACAAGTCAAGGCGCTCAGGTGGTACTGTGTTTAAAGCATTGGGCTGCTAACCAAAAGATTGAAGTTTGAACCGATCAGCCTCTCCACAGGAGAAAGATGAGGCAGTCTGCTTCCATAAAGATTTACAGCCTTAGAAATCCTATGGGGCAGTTCTACTCTGTCCTGTGGGGTCACTCTAAGTCAGAATAAGCTTAATGGCAGTGGAAAAAGGTAACTCACAAGTCATTTCTATTTCCTCCCTCAATAATACCCTGTCAAAGGAAAGAAGACTAGGCAATCTACTTCCGTAAAGATTTACCACCTTGGAAACCCAAAGGAGGTCACTATGAGTTGAAATCAACTTGATGGCAGTGAGTTCAGTTTGGTTTTTTAGTACCCTGTTGGAGAGTATAGTTGTACACATTTTCTAGATAAAGCCACAATGGCTCGGGGAAGTTTCCCGAAGGCAGCACAGCATAAAGTTGGTAAGTGGACATTCACACAAGTGGCCTATGATAGTAATCCCAAGAAACCTGGAAATCCATGCTTACCCAGACAGGCTGCGCACAGCAGCCATTCCTCCTTGCAGTCCCTGTGGCATGTGGAGGCAGTCCTGGTGTGTGACCTGCTAGGCAAGGGAACAAGAGAGCAAAAAAAGAAAGATGGAAATGTCTAATTGGTCCTTGTTTAATCCCAGCCAGTAATGAAGCCAAAAACCCCAATATATTTGACAGGCATATTATCACCAGGCCATTCTCCAGTCTCCCAATAATTGGTAAGAGCCTCAGCCCATGTCTTGGTTCTCTAGTGCTGCTATAACAAAAATACTACAAATTGAAGAATTTTATCAGCTTCTACAGTCTGAAATTGACCAAACATGCAATGAGGATGTGTTAATTATCACTGGTGACTGGAATGCAAAAGTTGGAAACAAAGAAGAATCACT